TGCATCCGACTCTTTCCCATTGTCAGGTGGCCTTACCCAAAAATTGAAGCAAACATTGGGGTCAAAAACGTGAGTGAACTGAGCTTGGTCAAGCTACCTGCAGTGCATCACAAATGCAACGTCAATATGGTGTTTTATTTTTTATGGGATCAATATGGATTTTGAAAAGGAAATTCCAAATCTGAGTACAAATTAAAGCTAGAGCTGCAACAATAATACGGTCATTACACTATGAAAGAAAAAATGAACCATTTTGGATTTAACATGGAAACTGGAATTTGTATAACTTACGAGATCATAAAAGGAAATTCAATGATGAAGAAAAGAAAGATCTTGAAAGGAGAAACATACAGACCTTTAGTTGCACTATAAAAGAATACACCATAGCTGACAGCGCTTCCAAAAATGGATGTGTAGAGGAGAGCCAATATATCAGTCGAACTGTACTCTTTAAGACTGCCACTCACAGCAGGGTCATTGTTAAGAACTGAGAAAAGCACAAGTGGGAGACCACCAATAACCATATGCTGCAAAATAGAGTAAAGTTTTAAGCTATATGCTTACACAGAGTTCTTAAACCATACTTTATTTTGCTATAAAACTTCCTCCATTGCCTGCCCCTTTCCTCTTAGATAAGTTTTTTTTTCTTTCTTTTTCTAGTTTCAGATCCAAACTTATTGTTAAAATATATGATACTCTAAACACATCTGCAGAAATAAATATTGCTGCAACTATCATGAACCATAAAATAGAGTCCAGCATATCAAATTCATAATTTAGCAAAAATTGAAACACGCACAAAATCATTCAGTTAAGTTTCATAAGTATATAACAATGGTAATCAGCATAAAATTAAGAAACACTAAAGTCTAAAGGGGATTTGAAGCACACCCATCCAGTTGCCATGACAGGATCAGAGTATTTTGAGACCCACCGAACCATGACCGTGCCGACTGCCATACTCTGAGCTGCAAGAAGCATCCACCACTCGCCACTGCCCCACAGTGAGAAGTTGCTTTCATCAAATGATAGGACGGGTAACTGCAACGAATTCATCACTGCTTGCATTACTAAATAATACGTAGAAGGTATTTGACAGGCTCACAGAAATTGTATATTATCTCCTTCCCATTTATTTAAATATTTTAGCCTCTTTTTTTATCTCCAAAACAAATGATGTTTTGAAATTTTAAAGTCTAATTGATATTTTTTCTCAAATATACCCACATTTGTTATCCCACCATTATAAATATAAGTCAAATATATTAAACAAAGATATTTTGTCCAAATATATTAATATTTTACTTCTATTAAAATTTTTTTGTCCATGTATATTTATTAACCTTTATCCTTAAGCATCTCAAGATAGGAAAGCAGGTAATATTTCAAACCAAAAAAAACAGTAAACTTGGTAACTGTGAATCTTCTAGATACCATGGTAAAAATTGCAATACATATCTTTTAATCCTTAACATCCTTCTAAATCAAATATATAAGAATTCAACTGCTAATTCTGGGCTGTGCTTTAAGACACGATAGTTAATTTACTGATTTTTTGTTAGAATTAAATGCAGAATCAAAGTTTACCTCGAGTAGTACAAGTCCTATGACACCAAGTGCAAGCCCAACAGCTCCAACAACTCCAATTGACTCACCAAATAACAAAGCAGCAAGTACAGCCACAGTCAAAGGCTGCGAATCAATTATAACCTGCAATATATCCACGTTAGATAATTAAAGCAAGCAAACATCATTGCTGTCAGATGTGGAAAGTAGAATTTGAATCAACATTCACTAAAATCAAATTACTAGGGGTATACGGTAACCGACCCAATGAGATTGATTTGGATTTTTTGAGGTTCGGGTTATACCCGACCCGATAGAACCTGACACTACATGTGTTTTTTTTATCCGTGATACAACTCCACTCAGTAATAATAATAATAATAACAATAATAATCTACAGTTTAGTATAAATCTATTTTGAATTTTAGAATGTATTACTATTATTATTTGCCATTCGAATTGAAAACATTGTAACAAAATCAAATGCCTTTTAAATTTTTTTTATATAAAAATCTTAATTGTTTAGGGTGATAACAATGTAATAAGTCAACAAATTTATTTTAAAATTTAATTTGTATAATTATTAGTTTTATGTATTTATAACATTGCATTTATAATAAAATATCAAATAATTTAAATTTATTCTAAAATGTTTAATTTTTTGAAAATAATAAATTCAATTATATTAATTCAATTAGGTTGGACTAGATTTTTTAATAAAAATGCACAAATTTGATTCAGTTTAACTTGTTAAATTTTGATCAAATTGAGTAACGTATTAATCAAAATCCAGTCTGACCACTTACATCCCTACAAATTACACCCATAATAATTCAATTATATCCCCTAGGATACACATATACAAACAGCATTTTAGAGCATCTACATAGGTTCTTATTTGTGAAAATGCTTATAAAGCAATTGACGTCGAACTCGTACACCAACACAAACTAGATATAAGCAATGGTTGCTTAGTTAAAACACTGAGGTTATATAGCATTAAAAGGAAAAGGGTTTTATAAAATAAAAAAATTGTGTTGAAAACCTTTTGTTGTAGAGATATTGAGTTATTTGTGAAAATTTTAGTAAAATTTCAAAGTTGTTAAGCTGGAGAAAAGTGCAGCCTAAACTATATTTACCCGGACGCAAATATAAATTAAAAAAATGTTTAATGAACTAAAATAAAAGCAAATTTTAGGTAACGACATCCTTAAAATATCCTTCAGTTAATTAAGATGTTATTTCCAATGTCTCCATTTTATTTTTGATATCAAGTTCCAATTAAAACAATTTAGGAAAGAAAATTGTTTTTGTAATAATTACTTTAAAAATTATTCCTAAAATGATTTATAATTAGTTGACTGTATTAAAATTATTAAACTTATAGTTTATCAAAAGTAATCTCAAAATAATATTGGTTTAATTTTCATTTGCTATAGATGTAGTAATCATTTTTACATTATTAATCAGTGGAAAACATCCTAGACTTTTGCAATAGTTATTATAAATTATTATAAAAGTCAATAACAATAACATTCATAACAATGCACGATTGAATGAGATTCTAAAAAAAAAAAATTGTGTATCCATCTATGTTGCCATGATTAATAATAAAGTCTTTTATCCCAACTATGATTTTTTTTAATCTACAAAGCTTGACCTTATTTATGAAATATTAACTCAATCCAACTCGCACAATGCTTTGTCTTTTATAAATAAATGAGTATTTCTATATTTCATCCTCTAGTAGCTAAATTTAGAGCCTTGTATAAACTATACTAATCCCATGGTTTATAAAAAAATTGTGCCGACTGGTTAGCTAAATTGGAGTTAATGGTTGTGAGCCTCTTATCCCATTGTAAACTTCCCCGATACAGATGTTTCATATACTTGTATAAACTCTAGGAGCTCTTTTTCCTAGGGTAGTTAGTTTTTTTTTTTTTTTCTGTTTTCTTTTGTTGCTCCTTGTTTCTGTAATTCCCATTCATCAAATAAAAAACTCAATTCAACTTGCAGTAGATAAGAGGATTAATAACAGGAATTAAAGTTATTGAATTGATAATAGTAGTAGCAACTTACACTGCCCAAACCAGCGGAAGTCCTCTGCAACCCTTCTGCTAGAAAACCCTGTTACAATGCGCATAAATCAAAGTCCAAAAGAGTTCGCATAGTAAAAAGCACACACATCACACATGACACATGCAGCGAGCGAAATTACGAAGAAGGACCTGAAAGCAAGCGGCATCGACGAGGGCGAAAAGCGTGATGGAAATCCACGCATTGAAGCCTGAGGGGAGAGGCCTCCCTCTCCACGCGGCGAACCCCACCAGAAGAAACCCCGCCGGAATGAGGCGAAAGGCGGAAACGAAGAACGGACCGCATTTCGGAAGCACCTCCTTCATCGCCACCATCGTCGTTCCCCAGAAGAAGAACGGCGACACCAGCACCGCCCATTCCCAAAGCGCCTCCGCCAGACACGGCGCCGACGGTTCCAATTGCGGTTCCTTCTCTTCCGAATTGACCAGACACTCCACGTCTTGCCCCGTTCCCACGCAGTCCACGGCGTCCGGCGGAGGCGAACTCGGCGACTGGGTTCCGAAGGCGGTTTTGTTGGAGCATGGAACCCTAAATCGGAGGGAAGAGGGGGATGCGGTGGTGAGAAGGAAGGAGGGAGGGGGGAATGGGAGGGTTTGGATGCGGAATTGGGAAGTGTGGGGAGTGACAGAAGAGTGGCGGGTGGTGGTGACGGCGAGGGTGGCGGAGGGAGAGGAGCACCACCACGACGACGCCATGGTTGGAGTGAGAGTGGGTGATGTGTTGCGTTTAGTATCAGAAACAATAACGATAAATTTGTGGTCCTTATGAATTAAATATATTTAAGCCAAATTTTAATATTTACCGATTACTATAGAAATTTACTCACAGGCATCGTATATTTTGAAACTAAATTAAAGATATTTTGTTTGATAGAAAATAAAATAGATTTTTTTTCCTTCAAAAAAAAATAAAATAGATTTTTTCTTTTTATATTTTTAGCATAGGATAAATATATATATAT